CTTGGAAATGGGAGTTGGTGACTTGCTCCTAGAAAAGTGAGGTGCAGCCTGGCAGGAGGACAGTTGAGGCGGAGAGGGAGATGTTGAGAGAGAAGTTATGATATAAATACACTACAGTCATCAGAGAAAAATGGGCATTATGGACAGAATCCTCTGAATCCATTGGTGAATTTGCATCAGATTTCCAAGTGGCATTAAAGAACTGAAAGATGCCTTTGCACAATACAGAACAGTTTACAGCCTACAATTCTGTTATGAAGAAAACTTCTGTTCTTTACAAAATGGCCATGTTCCACCTGGCATTAATACATCACTTAATAGTGTGAAATAAAAAGAATCATTATGATTATATCTATGAATAATTAATAAAGACAATTTTAGAGACTGAAGAGAAGCATTGATGTGTTCAAGCCTTCCTTCTAAAAACTAATTTTGGTGTTTACTTGGACACACTGAATTTTTCATTACATTTACAACAGAGAGTAAGAGGTTAATCTGGAAAGACTGGAAAAACTTGGTGTCCCACTGGCAGCCTGAATATTCAATGTTAGGATAGACTATTAATTATGAGTAGCAGCAGTTCTTGGAGAGTTAATGTTATTTATAGTGTTTATATGAGCTATATAAAAATCCCAGTGCCTTTGTTTTTGCGTTAGTAGTGACAATCAACATGTTCTATTCTCTTTGTCATCTTCTAGGAGTTTATATTACCTTTAATATGCCTGTTGTTCTCCACATAGAATGCATATTTCAGACAAAATCATCCCAACTTTCTGATCTTCCTATTTATATTGAGATGCCTCTGATTTTAGGTGGCTTTATGTTCATTACATTTTGACATAATAGTAAAACTGTTCTTATATGTCCTTCTTGTGAACTTGAAACAGCTAAAACATACCCAGATATCTGAAGGATGGATTTTTAGCTTTGGTTTGTCAAAAGTAATGACTGGAGTTGATTATTGTGCATATCCAAATTTTCCCAAACTTTCATATTTTGGGAAGCTCGAACAAAAGGCAGTATTTTAATGCCAGTGTTTTAGTTGGGTAAAATAAACCCCAAACCCAAACTTGGGCAAATTTGGTTTTTCAAATCTATTAAAATTGTGCATGTGAAAATACACAAAACAAAAGACTATTTGAACTGCCATCATTTGGTGTAAATCATCAGACGTTTTAGTGAAAGACATTTTAGAAAAAAGCTTCTTTGTATCAGTCAGTTTTATCACATCCTGATCTGGATCGTCAACTCTGGGACATGGTTTTGCTGTAACACAATGGGAAGCTTTGGTGAATCCAGGCTAAATGGACTAAACAAATACCTGTCCCCTGACGTAGGTGTAGCTGGAAGCAATGTGAATATACCTCTGAAGATTTAGACAGCTCAGCAAGGCAGCTCAGTGAGAAGAACGAGTGTGGCTGGATGAGTGGGGGTCAGGTTTGTTTTGGTTTATTGCAGAGCTGCTTGTTTCAATTCCTGTGCTACCTCCCAAGTTGTGCCAGTCTGACTGCTTGCGTCATTCGGAGAAGAATAACTAGGGATTGATTTCAGTTTTAAAATAACCCATTTTTCCCCTGATGCTTCTGAAAAAAAGTTTGTTAAACTGGAGCCTAAAGGATTCTATTGGCCTGGTAAGAAAGGCAGGACTTGACGTGCCTGTGAGCCCAACAAGCCAGCAAAGAGGAAGGTGGCAGCGAGCATTGTCATGGGAGGAAAAGTTCTTTTTAACACATTTTGTGCTGGAAAGATGGACTTGGATTTGTGAGCAATGGGGCTGCTGCAGGTGTGTTCTCCCTGCGACCAATGAGAGAGAACTCATGTACGTTTGTTATAAATAAACCTGATTACATGCAACGAAATACCTGCCTCTTGTCATCCATTCTTCTCCGTACAGGGAACAGTTCCCCAAACACTGACTAGCCATTCCTGATGGAAGGTTCACCATCACATTGGTGGGTATTTAATAATCACCCAGAAACCCTGGTTTTGGGAATGGAGCTGTAAGAATATTCAGCCTTGCCAGTTCATTTGGAAATAAATACTTGTATTTGACGAGCATTGAGATGGAATCTGCGGTTTTCCCTGGCTTCAAGAGGCCCACAGACTTTTGGCAGGAGGGTGTTGTGGCAGAAAATGTGACGATGAGAACAACATTACTGAACCCGTTCGTATAAACCTCTACGGTAATTTAACAACTGATGTAAACTGAAGTTCTGCAGTGGAAGACCAAAGAGTTCATCGAACCCAGGCAGTGAGGATGGCATAAATATCTCAACAATTTTCTTGTTTTAGATGACACTGAGGCAAGACCCTTAGTATTGCCATCCTGCTGGCTTGTAAATTCCAGTTAGTACAAAAGAAGAGAGTTAACTCTTCCATTTTTGTGTACTGTGGCAAACCCTAAATAACAATGCAAAAGTATTTGCTATTTTAAGAACAACCATGTGTTCCTAATCCTTTCTTAACATCATCTCTGATTTGCAATCAACATGTTGTGTTATGTATCTAGTCTATAAGATAGGTGTTGCTTTATGAATTGCCAACAAACCTTGTGCTCTTTACTGCTCATGCATTCTCATTGTAATTTCTGCTCAATGCTCATACATAAAGAACAAGTCACTGAAATCTTTACACTCTTGCCCACTCTCTAAAGCATCTATTTGCCAATGAAAAAAAATTTAAAATAGTTTCTTAACTTCAGAATAGCAAACATATTTCAAGATAAAATAAAAAAGCTTTTTACCTAGTATTGGTGACCACTAGGTCATCCATATAAAAATATAGTAGTGATAGTGGAAGGATCAGATACTGATACCTGGTTTATTTCTGACAAGTATTGCAAAAAAACATCTCACCCCTGCAATGCAGAATGCAGCAAGGATGCTCAGGCTGCATACTAAAAGAGACAAAAAATTAACCAGATATACTATTTTCAGGATTAAGATTTTCTATCAGCCCCCAGAAATGGATTCATGCAAGAAAAATTGTTCTGTGTGTGACCAAAAGATGCAACACAGTCCGATAAATGAACAATTGCGCTTAATAACAAAATGGCTTTTCAGCTGACAGCTGTTTCACCAGACAATTAAGTCAGAGGCCAGATGGCCAAAGAGACACACAGTGGAAAGTAAATTCGTAGGATGACTCCACAGAAGGGTAAAACTCGTAATTCATATACGTTTAAAATGTCAAAGATTCAATTAATGGAATTAGTATGTAATGCCTAGTGCAGTTTGCCTGTTGGAAGCTGTGCTCAAGCTTGTTCTCACAGCTCCTCTGCAAGGGGAAGCAGTGGACTCCTGGCTTCGAGCTCTGACTCACATGTGGCTAATTGTCTTTCCATCTCCCTCCCTGATAACTGCTTTTGTCTACAATACCACTCTGTATCACTTACTGCTCTGCACCAAGTCATTTTTTTGCTTCTTATTTGGCACTGTGGAGTGATAGGAAGAGAGAAGACCTAAAACAGAAGTAGGTGTGGACTTCTGGGAGATGCAGGAGAGGTGAGGTTTACTCTTTTATGGAAGTTGCATCTAAACTTAGATGGGAGAATGAAATTAGATTTTATACCTAGCAGAAAAGTTTCCAAACGCTGAAGTATTTTTAAAAATAAACTATAATGTAGTATTTTCAAGTTTCAGCTCAATTTTTTTTCTATCTAAAACTAGATGACTTAGCATTCTTAGTTACCACCACTGCAAGTTAAATTGTCTGGAAAACTCTGACTCCATCTTCTGACTGCTCAGGGAAATGCAGTGACTAGTTTGTATTTAAACTTCTTAACTCATAGAATCATAGAATGGCTTGGATCAGAAGGGACCTTAAAGATGATTTAATTCACAAAACTTTAAATATTTTCAATATCAAGGCTTTGAATATTTGGTTGAAGCTTTATTGATTTTAGTCATTGCCTTTGCTAGCTGCTACTGATGTTACTTTCTACTGACAATGCAGCTTTTCTTACAGATTTCTGAGAAAGAATTCAAGACTTTGCTTCCCTTTTAATACCCTTAACACTGTGTTTGAATTCCCACTTGATTCGTGGAAGAAGGTTTTGATGATACAATGTCACTTCAAATAGCAATGATTTGTCATTGGTTTTCCAGATAATTTTTTCTCATTTAGTGTCTGTGACCCTTAATTCTTTCAGGTTTGATACCTTCATTGCCAGTTACTAAATTTGCCTTTTTTTTTCTCTTTTAACATAAAGCTCTTCATAAATGAGCTTTGACAAAAACTAAATTGAGAGCTACAGTCATGCATCCCCCTTGCTCTTTGTATTTGTATTTTAGACCCAGTGTTACAACCAGATGTTTAGTGCTCTTCACTCACCATAAATGACAACTGATTTTTATTAATGCAATAAGATGAGAAAATTCATTTATGCTGTCCAATATCATGTTGTGCAATGCATGCATATCCACACAGCTAGAGCAGAAAGCAAATCAGTCATTTATTTGACTGCTGATAGTCAAAACAGTAAGAAATGTATTTTTCCTGAATTTCTTTTCTCAACTTCTGATGAAAAAAATGTTCAAGGCCATGAATAGAGCAACCTTCCCACCCATATTAGTCTGATTTGTCATGCTCACACCTAACCCCCTTCATTTCCACCTAACCCCTTCATTTCCCAGAACTGACACAGATTTAAGGGGAGCTTCTCCAGGTACTAAGTTAAACTCTCAGTCATGCAAGGAGCTGTGTGTGTAGAGAAGCCAATGGAGATCTGCAGATGACAAAAATCTACTGATGTGCTGCACTCATTGATCGTTTTTCCATGTTTTCTGAGCCAGTGTTTCACAGAGCAGTGGACCATAGGGAAAAGGGCAAATAATGTCAAGTGTGAGGACAAGGGTGACACAAGGAGGTGGACTGTAGTACTGCACCACACCTGGCATCACTTACAGTATCACAAGCATGTGAAAAAATAAAGGGAAAACCAGAGCCAGTTGCAAATTGCTCCTTGGTATTAATTGCCTAATTTCATGTGTCTCTACTAGGTCTTCTGGAGGATGGGAAATTGGCTCAGACTGGTTTAACTACAGCATCAGCCCCATCTGGAACGCTAAACACTGAAAAGAGGAACAACTGTGGTTCTCAGTGTGCCAACCCCATGGTCCACAGCATGGGAGCCACGACACAGAGGCAGAATGGCTTCAGAACCACAGAGGTAGGAGTATAATTATGTTCCCTGGTGCTCAGCACTAGCTTCAACCAGGTCTAACTCACTTTTGTGGCAATCTTCCTTGCTGCAGTGAAACTGTATAAGAGATAAGAGAAAATGGTGCTGGGCTGCACCACAGCCACAGCATGGTTGAGCCAAGCACCTCTGACACTGCCTGAATGGCCACAGAGTTGATGTTTTATTTGCCAATCAGAGTAACACACACATTGTTACAGTAAAAAAAGCCCCCACAGTCATTCCTTTCCAACTCAGTCCAGCTGTGGCATGTATTGTGCAAACTGTTTAGATGAATTATTTGAAAGGGAACAGGTTTTTCCTTAATTGCTGTTCTGCTTAAACTATGTGAACTGCATAAACCCTGGTTCATGCAAAGCTGGACGTGAAGCCTGAAAAAGTCAATGAGTGTCTTTTCAATAACTTCAGTAGGCTTTGGATCAGATCCTTCCCCCTCATCTCCCTCACTTATATGTCATATATGATGTAGAAGAGTCATCCAGTGTAACAATAATGTAGGAACACCCAAGGATTTGGGGCTATACTGAAGACCAGCCTTCTCCTGTTACACCTGCCTACCTGCCTGCCTCTCCCAGGTTTCCACTTGCCATGTTTGTGTAGCAGCTGCTGAGCTGCTGCAGATTAAAGAAATCCAAAAACTGCTTGGTTTACTGCTTCCTTGGTTTCTCATATGAGAAAGTATTAGGTAAAAATTTAGGAAAGGAAGACCTCCTTGCTTTCTGGGTCCTCTGCAGATGTAGCAGATACAGTCCTTTACGTGGTCCTTGGCATTTCTCAGGTAGAATCTCAACTTCTACTTCATGTTGCTGCTTCCCCTACTTTTTCAGGGGAGTCTTCTCCTAATGGAATATCATATAGTTTCACATCTAGAGGGAGTGAGACTGTCTGTAAAATTTTGGAAATCACAGATTGTTCAGTCATGGGTGAATGTTTATACCCCTGTGGGAGTCTGTTAAAGGTACACTGAACTGCCTTCAGGTGAGCACAAATTTTGCTTTGAGGTGTTCCCAGAGTGGAATCATAAATAACATATCTTTTACATCTAGGGTTGCCATCCATGCATAGGACGCTCCCTGAATTTGAGTTACCAGTTCTGCTAAATCTGGCACAGCAGTAGTTAGAGGTGTGATATTGGCTTTCCATCTCCTGCAGACAACAGTGAGCAGCCACTGACCCTTTGTCTTTTTCACCATTCCCCAGGGGATACAAATGCTTTAATTATCTGTACAATGCTGGGTGGATTGGCAGCCCACATAAGCACCATTTCTACCTCTTCTTCCAATTTTTGCTTTATCTCCTTTTCTTCCTGTAACTGTTTCTGCAGCTGCTCAATTTCCAAAGATAGTAACAATTCAGTTCCTTTCCCGCCTCCTATTTCCTCTCTCAGACCTTGTTTCTCTCTACTAAGGCTCTTCCTACCTAATTTCTCCAGTAATTGTCTTTCCCTGTGCTCTGCTGAAGCAAGTAGAATCCTAAAATTATCATTCTCAGTTATAAGCTTGTTTCTTTTGGTTCCCAATCTTTCTTTTATTTCCTTCTCAAAGGCCAATGATGACTTTAATACTTCATTTTCTGATTTTGAAGCAGCATATTCTGTATAGGAAATTTTTGGGAAAGAAAGGACTCTTTGATTTCCTCTTGTGTGATAAGTGAGTCCCCAATACTGCACAAATAATTGCCTTGTCTTTCTAGAATTTTTGGGCCCATTCCTTGTCTGCCTGGGAAGGAGCACATTTATACTTTTGTAACTGTTTATCCATGGCAGTCTTGCTGACTACACCAATTTTTCTGTCACTTAAAAATTTAGGAAAGGGAGACCCCTTTGCTTTCTGCATTGTCCGCAGGTGTAGTGGGCCTGGGGGCAGCCAGGCCTTCCCTTTCTTAGTCAGTATTATCTGTCTGTCCAAGTCCCCATGAGACCTTCACAGATAATATTTTAGAGTAACCAATTTGGCACTATAAGTGGTAAGGTACCAGAGGCACAGTGTGGTCACAATCACAATCCCAGATGCGCAAATGGCATAAGTTGCACTGTAAGTCTGGGTGAATTCAATAAGACTCCAGATTCACAAATTGTGCAATTTATTGATTTTGTTGTGACAGAATAAGGTCCACAAATTGCTGTTGCTAAATGCACTGGTATCAGAAAGTACCTCCAATAGTATTACCATGGAAAACTTACCTGACGGGTGTCCCTAAGGGGGAGTAGAGGGTACCACCTGTTGATCATCCCAGGATACAAAGGTAGAGTCTCCTCTGACCTCCCTCCCCTCTTAAGTCATATCTGTATTGTTTTCTTTGAGGGTGGTGAAAAAAAAGTTTCAGTTGATGTAATTTCATGATTAGGTGGAGTTTGAGTGACTTTAATCATACATGTAAAGCATGTACAGCTTTTACATCATTAGCATATGTAGGGAATGAAAAGTAATACGCATTTTGAAGTTCATGATGCGTAATTCAGCTTTTGGTCACCATTTAGGTAATTCCTTTGGTTTAGCTTTCATTAGCTGCATTGTTTTAAACAGAGCATGACTCCAACACCTCTACACCATCCTTTGTTTCATGCCTCTCTCAGGCGTGAAACAAGTTCCCTCTGCGTCCCTGCTCCTCAGGCATGCACACAGTTTGTTTTTGGTGAATTACTGCCAATATGGGCACTCCTCCTCACTGAGCTTTGTCTTTTGATGTTTTTCCACAGAAAGTGCCTCAGCACAGCATGTGGTGTAACCGTCACACCCTCCCCATATGAGGTGGTCCCATGTCAGGAGTCATATCATTGAGAGAGGCAAAATTAAACCCAAAGGGTCTGAGCAAATGAAAAAGGGAATTTGGATTGAACTTCACTTTCCATTTGCTAACACACAACACATCAGTACACATATTTTTATTTTATACCTTCATTGTATTACCTCTGTATTGCTGTAGTACAAAGATATTCCCTGGTGACATGGATACTGCTGTATTTTTTCACAAGATACTGCACCTCCAGATGTGCAGGGACATGTTCCACAGCAGCTTGATATCTAGAGCCATGAGTTTTCTGCAAATGAAAAACACAAACGGCTGTCATAGCCACTAGCCCACAGAGAAAAATTAATCAGTGAGGTTGGATATGGTTGAACAGAACTACATAATTATTAATCCAATTTGAAAAAGACTTGGTTACAATTGAGAATTACAGTGTGTACCCTGCATACTGCTGGAGAAAATGGTTTGCCTAATTTTGTAAGCGATTGGAAAATTACCTCTGCATTGGATTTAGTAGGAAGTACGGGCAAATTCCCACAACATATTAACAATGTGAGTGTTGACTGTGGGACTCCCCAGTGAGGTGTGGGTTCCTGCTCTGAGGCCCTATGACTTTAAAGATTTCCTCCTGCATTTTTTAGCTGAGGTACATTCAGTAACATACATCTGTATTGTTGCAGCTCAGTACAAAGAAAATTTGTGATGATAAGTAAGGCATTTACATTATTCTACACATCTAATGCAGATGCATAAGAAAGGAAGGTAAGTTGTCTAAACTTCTTGTACTCAAAATAGAAATACATAATCCTTCAGAGAAAGTGTAGTATCTAATTTAGGCTCCAGCTCTGGTTTGCTGCCATGAATCTCTGTTTCTCCACTGAAGGAAGCCTAGGATGAGCAAGTTTCCAATTGGAACACCTTAAGTTTAGGTGCCTAGAGATGAGAATGTGACTACCGCCCCCCAATTCAAAATGTGCCTATTTTATTTATCTGAACATTCACATTGACTACAATTTTTCTTTTACCTCTACATGCTCCACAATACAATGCAATGCAGCATACAGTGCTCTCAGAGACTTGGGTTGTGCCATCAGCCTGCAAACAAGTAGGGGGTAAATGGCATTACCTCTCTGTTTCTCACTTTCTCCTGCATCAAGCTCTAAAGCAGCCTCCTGCTTTACCCCTCGGTTATGTGACAATTTGTATGTCGAAAGAGTTTGACATAGGCTGCATCTGGTAAACTTTGGATCCTCTCATGATGATAATGTCTGAACAACTTGAAAGTAAAAGATGATGATGATGATCAGAGGAGTCCTTACACCAATGAAGGCAATATAATTGTTACAGTTTGTGAGGAAAGGACATAAGAACCTTCAGGCTCAAACAGAGTTGAAGGTTTGTTTATTCAAAATGGCTCCCCTATTTATATAGGAGGAGCAGAGAAGGTTCTGGAAAGAAGGGAGGAGCATGGGACTGACAGGAGTTACATCCAATTAGGCACACCCAGGGGAGGAGTTACATAACATGGGGACTCTGCACTGTGGCAGATTTTGACCAATAGGAAAATAAGGAATAAACATGAGGGAGAGAATGTTATGGAATTCAATAAAAACATGGGGGTACAACAGGTTTGAATGTATATTAACAACAATTATTAACTTCTTTTAGTCAAACAGTCTCTGTGTCAGTAATGTTGTATCGGATCAGTTCACAACATGTTTTCTTCCTCTGCAGCCTCAGTCAGGTTATCCTGTAATTGCTGTTTCCACATTCGAAACTTCCCCTCTTCGCAGTAGATATCTTCCACAATAATGGTCAGGCACGCCAAAAGCAAGAGTTTTATCCAGCACCTGCTTTGATTTTCATTATATGTGTAGTCTTTGGAGAGTCCTTGCATGAACAGTAGCACTGGGGGAGTAGACAGCAAAAGAGCAGGTGTATTTAGGCTGCAGAAATGTGAAGTAATATACAGCAGCAAATCAAGTGTTGCTCTGCAAATATATATGTACCTTCAACTCATGTCAGTGGAAGTTTATGAGACGTTATTCTAGCTGGCACTCCTGCCATGTAAACAATGCCTAATTTATCTGACATTCCTTACACTGACAAATAGTTTCATAGACTACTGGAAATGCAATAATCAGACCCACCTAACTCACCCCTGTGTCTCTATCAGCCCAGTTCTGAGTGCACTTTCTGAGTGCTAGACCTATCCAGTTTACTGTGCATATAGTGTGTTGCTGATGGCAATAAGCAGATAGACAAGGAGATGGAGAAGAATAAATTTAAATTAGGGATGCACTTGCATGCCTCAGACAGACTGACTTTTTTGAATATTGGAAATTATCTGATGAAGCTCTGAAAGGTATATATATTGTGCTTGGGTCTTATACACAGGCAGAAGTAAATGTTACTTTAAAACTGTATTTTCACTTAAGAAATGTAAAATCAATTATAGAAAATTCTGTCTCAGGCTAGTGATGCACAACTCCCAGTGATATCAAAAGGAACCTCTAATTTTCAGTTCTGGACTGAAACCAGATTTATTTGCTCTGCTTTTAGAGTACACACATGCAGAGATCATAATTATAGTCAAGAGGGTTGATCTAAAGTCTACTGTCGTCCACAGCCTGTATAGCAGTTATAAAAACTTGTGTCCCTGCTGAATGAGAAAGTTGCTCTGCATCAAGTTCTGTGTGAAGGATGCTGGAGGCATTCTGTTTATTAAGTAGAACTATTTTCATAAGTTAGGAGGTAATCGCCAATGACTCTGCTGTCAGTGTGGAATTCACTGTACTGTTTAAATCTCTCACAGAGTAAATGGAACACACAGAAAATGTCCACAAAAGAAGTCACCATTAATGTTACAAAAAGCATCAGACAAAGTGACAGAAGGAAAACAAAGAATTGTGCCAATTAACAAAGAAAATTGCAGGTGAGAATGGATTTAACAATGCTTCACTGCACTTTAAATGTCATCTGTCGCTGAAGACGTGAAGATCTCCAGACGTTCCAGGTTGAATACAGCAGGCAGCTGCTGTTGAGTGCCTTCAGAAGCAGGTCTTGTGGAAACCAGCTGCAGACACTGTAGGATCTTCAGACGTCATTTATCTAAAGCAGTGGCACTACACAGACATACAACAAAATTCGTGCCATTTGTTTTTCACTCACTTCTGTGTTATCCCTTGGGTATGTCCTATTCTGCATTGCTATTAAGATCAGGATGGATGATAAGAGGTACAGCTCATCACAATTAAAATCAGGAAATGAACAAATGAATCTGCATTTTTAGTCATAGAGATTTTTGAGTGTGCACATTCAAACCCACAGAGTTCTTTTAAAGCACTCACTTTCAAAAAACTCAAACCCAGACTTCTCAGAAAGTGACACACAGGTGACTTCCACTAAATCTGTTTTCAACTATATGTATTGGTTATATATAGTCAAGTCATACAGTAACCTTTTTATATATTAAACTTTCAATTACCTAGTTTTAATTTATTGTCTGTATTGACATAATTTTGGTCTTAAAAACGGTAACTTTCATATTGACTAGCCTTACTTGAAGTTCTTAGTCTTAGCTGGCAAGTAGAGCTATGGCTACTTAGTTTTTATATATGGCCCTTTAATTATGTTGAGGCCCAGACTGACTTAGAAAAAGGTTGTCATTAACATTACATGAAAATAACCATAATTCTTAAATCCATATTGTAATGTCAACTCAAAAAATTAACTTTATTTTAAGATATAATTAATTTGCTGTTCAGAAGTTGTTTAATTGCATTGTAAGCATCCTGTATCACAGTACTCCACGATTATCATGAATATACATCTAAAAGGAATATAAACATTCAGTATAGTAAAGTCCAGGAATTAATTCAACATATTACTTCTCAATATAGAAGTAATAATATATATTCTCAGTGAGTTTGCATGTTTATAAGACAAAAGAGGTAAAGTTATTTGCCTTCCCCATAGACATATATATATATATATATATATATATATATATATATGAGTATCCTTAGAGGGCCATTTATAAGAACTCTTTAAAAGTTACTCATAACAGATAGATAGCATTGGGAAGAAAATCCATGTATGAATGGTAAGAAGTCCTTTTCATGAGCAAATGGGTATAAATAGAATTCTGGGACTGAACCCCAAAAAATTTATTCCACATTAGGATCATTTTAATGGCTTGCTGCTAGGTGTGTGAGTACTTATTACTTTCCATATAGTACAACAAGTCTATGCAATTGGAATTGCTTATTAATTATTCCAACAAAAAGGCAAACTGAAATCCAGAGTTAGTGCAAGACTTTTACAGACCATAGCATATTTTTAAAGGATTTACTGGCAGAGAGAGTGCAGAATAAACCAACATGATACAGGAAAACTACAGAAAGTGAATAATGATGCTGATGCATTAAAGGGTAGAGGGGATTTTATACACTCTCCTCATGTAATACATTAATGTTCTTATTCATTAGGCTGTAACTGAAATTACATTATTTCCCAGGTGGCTTTTTAGTTCTTAATGTGCAAGCTTCCAATGACCTTAATAAAACTAAGAGTGGGTTCTAGAAATGTGTATTTATGTTTACTTTCCTTCTACTAGAGATAACCACCAGTAGAAACAAGCAATTTGTTTGTAAAATAATATACCAATCTGTGTAATTGGGGTGACAGGATCTAATCTATACTGCCTAAGACAATTTGAAGTCCTAAAAATAGGTTCCTGTGCTGGTTTTAGTGGAAGAGGCAAGCTCAAAGAATCATCTGGACATTTTCACTCTGGGTGGCCTTCTTGGGAGTGAAGAGTTTTATTTACAGGGTCTGTTCTTTGAGTAGCAAATGAAATATCTTCCAAAAATAAAAGGCTCAAATACATAAAATAAAATAACCATGGACATGGACTTTCAGATAAAGGACCTGTGGGCATTTCTGTCTTCTTATGTGACAGGATTTTTGAAATGTAATTTTCTCCCCAAAGGCATTATGCCATATAATTTGTTTGAAGTCCCTTGGCTGCACATGAGGACTTCTACAGGTACACTGAAACAACACGCTTTCTGCTGAAATGATTTGCCAAAAGCTGGTGAGTTTTTAGGATTTACCTGAGTTCAGTTTTCAAACAGAAAGGAACTTTGCCATGTTTCCATAATTCCTACACAATGTATATATAGGATTTTCCTTTGATGTTTGTATACCTGTAAAATACATCTTCTTTCACTATGTGAGAAATGGAATCACTCAAAAGAAAGTGAACATTTCCATTGACTAAAGAAGAGCAAGGATTAACAGTTACCAATTCATCATTAGGCAAATTAATCTTCTCAAAGACTCAGTGCAATTTTATCTTGCATTATTCCTTCAACTTCTCCCCTATGCTTCCTTAATGTATTTCAGATTTTCAGCATTACTGTAGGACATTGACTGGAAGACACAAAATTTTACTGTGTGACTGAAATGATTTTGTACTGAAAAAATAGGAAAATATAATTATTGTGCAAGCAATATATGAATACTGGGTTAAACATTCATTCTTGTTAGTTAAATGACTGAGATTGCATAAAAAACAGAAAACAGGTATTTTCAATCTTCCTAGTATGTTCATATACATAGATATTCATATGTGCATATCTCTGCATGAGTACATTGTAATGTCTGTAGTGTGTACTACTGCAGTTCAGACACATTTTTTTGAGAACCTTTAATTTCTGTTTTAAATTCCGATGCTCAAGTGTGAAATATTTTAATGTTTGAACTGAAATCTGTTTTACATGCCTTATGAAAAGAATGAGTTATGTAATTTTTGCACAGAAATGGTATTTGAAAAAAGCAGGCTTAGTTTTATTTGCAAATAATATGTCTAAATTCAAACTAGACTAATGGGAACATTTTTGTACTCTCATTTTAGCTGCAAATTATTGAAGATTGACCTTGAACTTGAAAATGAAGATAAAGAAAATTTTTAAAGTGTCTGTTTATTATTTCACGCGTTTCACATTCCTTTGTTTGTGATTAATTTATCTTCCAGACCTGAGATCAAAGACTGCAAAGGTATAACGAATGGTTCCCACCTCCTCAGGGGATCAGAATATTTGTGTCTGATGTCCTCATGTTGTGGCTCATGGACTGTGTGGTCATATCAAAGAAGGTAAAACACATGTATTCCCCATAAGAAATCATTTTTTTTGCCAAGGAGGGCTTGTGAGGTCAAAATGCAGTTGTACCTCTGTAATTATAGATTGAGAGTTTGTGGTTGCTGTCATAGCTAAAGTGGAAGACACTGGGAATCTGAGACATTTTCTCTAGTAAGGTATCATAAGGCAACTATGAGGCAAATAGAATACGTAAGTAAAAAAATGTTCTTTACTCCTGCCTGAACCGGAAAGCACGGGGTAGAAAAGCAGCTACAGTGTTGTTTGACCTGTGCCATAGAAATAAACTCATAACTTTTACACACAGCACTTTTTATTTTTTCCAAAATTGCAGTAAATTTACATGATATTCTTCCTTAGTGCCAGAAAGGCTCTTGCTGAAATACCATCCCCATCCTAATTGCCTATGCCCCGGGTGTTGCCTGACAAGTAGCTTGTTTCTTTGATTCCTGGCCAGGATGCTGACACAGGAACTGGTTTGTTTCCTGTGGAAAAGGAAGAATAGTATCAAAGGAATGGCTTTCAGATGTGTCAAAAGAAAAAGGGTCTGGGGACATGAGGAAGCCACAGTCCCTCAGTCAGGCATGTAAGAGCCCATGGGAACCCTGCAAATGGGACGATTCCAGGGTCAGACTGTGCCTTAGAAGCAGAACCCTTGTTGGTGCAAGAAGTGACTGGCAGGGTGGGGGAAGGGCCTTGTTTGGAAGTGAAGCTCCCAAAGCTTAGGTTTAATGGACTCGGTTTCTCTCTGCCTCTGGGAGAGGTGCTACATGAGCTACAACAATGTATACACAGTGAGTCCAAGGTAGGTTTTCATTTCACAGTGAGGCAAATATTTTGAAGAACTTGATACACTGCAGTGTTTCAAAACTAAACCTTCAGAGTCCTCAGGCCAAGCATCCCCTGTTGCACTGGTGCCTTCCCAGGTGCCTCCTTTCCAGATTGTTTCAGTGAAGCATGTGAAAAAGGTACTAGCAATAAATAAGATGTGGTGGTCTAAGAAGCAGAGATGCCAGATCTCATTCTGTCATTACCCTCACGTTTTCAAGTCCTCCAGTCTGATTTTCAGATTTTTTTTCTGGTAGCCTATGCATAATAACCAGAGCTAAAAGCTGTTCTCCTGCCCATCAGTAAACTAATGGCAAAGTTGGATCATTAATATAAGATAAAAAGTTAGCTCGTTCACTAGAAAAGACATTTGTTGACATATGCCACTTGAAATAAAATCCAAGTTTATTTGCAACAGCTCCTTGCATAGAAGAACTCAGCAAACACTAAAATCTAGGAAATACTGTAATCTTACTGATAGAAGGATGTTTATAAGCAAGAAGGAAGAAGGCATAATACAACAGCTTTTCTTTGCTTTCTAGAGGATTCAATATCATTTTAAGTCCTGAGTGCAAAAAATTGGGATGTTGCTATAAATCTCTCCTTTCAAGACTGTTTAAAACAAGTAGTTTTGGCTGCTGTAGGTACTTGCTTAGGGAAAAAATAAGATTGAGAGAGAAAGAAAGGGAGTGGTGTCACAGGCCAGGACTGAGCCATACTTCCAGTTGTATTAATTAGCCTTGCCTGCACACTCTTGCATTATAGTCCGTATTAATCAGCTTTAATTTAGTTTCCGTTAGCCTTTGCATTGACAGAAAGAACAGTTTGCTCACAGCAAAAAAGTGCTTAAGAAAAGGCACCATATCTAAGTAGCAGCCTATTCTTTATCAGCTATGAGGACTCTCAAATACAAAAGGCATGAAAATATTTATAGTCATCTATATCTGATTTTACCAGGAAATTAAACTATTGGGCTTGTTCATGCAAAGCAGATAGAACTTTCCAGGTCACATATAGTAAGTGGCTTAATGTTCAGTTTGCTTGACTAAAGGGCTGAAGGGTGATTTGAACCTAAAATGTTGGGTGCTGTGGCTTGTCCATGTCTCTAAAACAGACCTTCTGCAGTGCAGTGGCATCTCCTTTGCCCTCAAATTAGTCCCCCCCAAACAGTTTTTCCACTTCATTCAGACTACTAATATGACATAATTTTGCAGCACATTATTAGATACATTATTATATTATTGAGAGCATAATGTTACCAATTCAGACATGGACCCTGCGAAGCTAAAGTTCATGATCACAGCTGCCAAGCTCAGGAGCAAAGTTAGTTCTCATTAATTCACTGAGCAGCCACAACTCCACCCAAGTAGTATCATCACCTCTGGGAACTGTTGGGATGTAGGGAGTTCAATATTAATGGACACACATCATGTTCTATGCAAATGATATTCATTATTCAAAAGCATCTTTCAGATGAACTAACATGTTCAAAATCATTCTGGAGGCAACCATTTTACACCTACTCCTGGAATGCAGTAGTTTACTAATCTAGCTGGGATTTCACATCTAATAAGGATTTTCTGTCCCTTGATCACACCTGATATCATGGCAATCTTTTGACAATTTAGAAGATTAATTAACAAATACAACAGAATAACTTCCAGAATATATACTGGGCCACATTTTCCACCAGGAAATTGCTGTCATCATTGTTGTTTATCTGTCTGCCTGCTGTCTTTTCTTACAATGTATTAATTACTTGCATCTATGGTAAGAAAGTAGCTTCTTATGCTTGCACTATAGATATATATTTTTCAGTTCTGTCTAATAAGGTCTCACTGGTATTTCATGTTACAAATGCATATTTATCATGGGGTGAATCTCTGCTGCTGAATCCCTTAGCTCCAATATTTGCCCCTGTATCCTAGTCCCAGACCGTCTGTTCTGCACACATGGCACATGTGCTTGTTCACTCCTGGTGAACACAGGAACAAAACAACCAGTTCCCTCTACGATAAAATCGGGCTGGCCCAGGAGCTGCTCTTTGCAGACAGCACCGTTTTTGTCATGTCTCTGCCCTCTGCCCTATGGAGACCGGAGACAGGTACCACCCCACCAGCATCCCAGCACACCATGGACATGGATGCCTTTGCATTATGCCCCAGGGTACATCTCGTAAAGCAGCAGCATCATATTATAAACAGCTTCTGTGATCTGCAGAGCAATCCTTTAAGTACTCTGGGGAAGATGTTCTCACACACAGTGAAAGCCATTTCTTATCAGCTCCTCCTTTCCAGCTTCCTGGGGAATACCACCTAGGCAGCCTAGCAGCAGTCCAAACCCCCAGCTTTTATGTCTCCATCCTCCTCCTTCTCCAGGCAGAACGATACTGCACACATTCCTCGTTCTGCCTCTGGTTCAGCCCTCCTGGAACCTACCATGTTTACCCCTTTCACTGCAATGCACCACTCTTTCCACATTTCTGGCCTTCTACATACCAGCTGCTGTCCCCTCAGTTACACTGGGCACTGTGCTCAATTTACAAGTACTCCACTACATCAAAAATTACAGTCTGGGTAAAGGAAGTTGTTACCTTGTGTCTTTACTGCAGGCTCAGGCTGTTCACAAAAATGCCACAGGGCTCTCGGAAGGGCTGTCTGTATCGGTGGCTGTACCGAAGTGTAGATGCCAGACCTCCAGGACAGTCAGTACAATGTACAGGGGCTAAAGAAACACGTTGTTATATGCACAGCCAAGAATTTATTATTAGTCTAATAAAAATGCTAATAGTCCAATGAAGTAATTACTATCAGTCTGGTTATACAGCAATTTACTAATACGGATGGTCCAAATTGTCCAGTTATTACAGCCTATTCCCAGGAAGGAGACCCACTGCTCAGCACCCACCCCACTGTCTGGGGCTGTCCTCATCCTACTTGGCTTCTCTGTGCACTTGGGACACGACTTGCGGAAACAAAAACTCATGAAGAGTATTGAAGCAGGTATGTTTATTTACAGCGCCGGGTTCATGGGGAGTAATCTCGCCAAACATGCACACCTATTGCCTTTGTTCATCCCTTTTTATGTGATACAATGTTACATATGCATTAGTTGTGCTACATATACATTAGTTGTGTTAGATATGCATTAGCTGTGTCAGCAAATTCCTGAAAATTGGGAGGGGAAATCATTAACATACGCCACACCTGTAACTCTGCCTCGGAACGCCCCTTGGCGTTTTTATGTTTTCCAACACATCTGCTAATTTGCTCCTTCCTCCTTGGTTTGCAATTCCATGATTTGTCTGAATTTGCTATATATAGCATATTTTACTTATTTTGGAGGCTCATTGTTCACTTTTTTTATCCCTAAAACAGGTTTAATCCAATCCACAGGGTTGTTCTCCTCTAGTGACTGATAACTGACCATGTGTGACTTGTGCTTACAGTCCTGGCATCTTTAATATCCGTCTGCACTCACACCTTGAAGTCCTCTACTCTTACCCTGCTACAATCCTGTTTTCCTTCAACCACTATAAAGTTGTAGCCCTCTGATCACCTAATGAATGTTTCATCAGCACAACCTAGTTGCACACACCCCCTTGCTTTAGAGCCTACTCTGTCACTTTCCAACTAGAACAACCCAGCAGAAGACACACATTCAGACACAAACAGACACAGGCAAAATACTCCATATCTACTAGTTGTGGTAATATCACTGGTAAGTCACCAACTTACAAACACACTCAGTACACTTAAGGAGAAACAATCTGGATTATGTCTTCAAAAACTTCCATCATGATCATACTTCCATAGCAATAAATCAGCAGTCTTAAGGGTGATGAGGTTTCAGAGCATTGTCCTCTCCCATGGGCTTCTGCCAGCCACCTCCATCAACTGTTGGAGATGCTCCTCCATACAAGAACTTGGTATCCAACCCTGATCATCCCAGATGGCCCTAGCACATCTTGGTCCCATCAGCA